TACTCTCTTACATCCCTGCTGCCCAGCTGACCAGGCTCCTGCCATGCATCCCAAAACCAGGAGTACCTGCTTCCAACTGAATTCCCCTGGGAATTGCAGCGGGGTCGAAGGCCAATGGAATGTGTCCTCGGTACAAATCAACACCACTCATTCCCCGGAGTAAATGTTCATACGGAGAGATGGGATGGTGATGGTCCACTAGAGTAGCATGAGGAGACTTGGAACTGGTGATGTCTCTTGTGGTGGGGGTGACCTTTCTGTCCTGAGACACCGGCTTCCCAGCTGTGATGCTCCCTGAGGAAGCAAAAGAACAGAGTTAAAACACGCTCATTGCCAAGCTTTGCTCTTCAAGGGCCATGACCACCTTCCGCTGTGGGGAACCCTTCTTCTTCTTATGCTGCTTATTTAATTTACACTGTGGTGTGCATTGAAGGGAGAACGTGACCCTGGATCTGACCAGATAAACATCTACAAATGAAGGGCTGCCCCCTTCCCTACCACCAGGCCCATTCTGGCATGTACATTGAAAATGAAAGGGTGTTTAAATTTCTCTGTTGAAACCTAATGTACCTATTCTGCCCTCAAGACCCCAGTGGTGACTGTCATGGTCTTCAATGTAGGGGTGTAAATGGGAAACCACTTAACTGGTAAGCATCATCCTTACTGGCTGCTGTTCCAGAGGACCCCCACCCATGGGCTGTGTCTAGACTGGCATGATTTTGCGGAAATACTTTTAACGGAAAAGTTTTTCCGTTTAAAGTATTTCTGCAAAAGTGCGTCTAGATTGGCAAGTGCCTTTGCACAAAAGATTTGTTTTTGCACAAAAGCATCCGTGGCCAGTCTAGAAGTGATTTTGTGCAAGAAAGCCCCGATTGTCATTTTAGCCATCAGGGCTTTTTTGCTCAAAACAGCTCTTCCCTGTCTATACTGGCCCTCTTGAGCAAGTATTCTTGTGCAAGAGGGCTTTTTCCCGAGCGGGAGCGTGAAAGTATTTGCGCAAGAAGCATTCATTTTGTACATTACAAAGTCAGTGCTCTTGCGCAAATTCAAGCGGCCAGTGTAGACAGCTGGCAAGTTTTGCGCAAAATCTTGCCAGTCTAGACGCACCCATGGTGTGAGACAGCAGGCTAGTTAACTGGCTAAACATATAGTTTAACAATTAACATTTTAAATGGGATTTCTGCATCCCCACTTCAATGGGAGCTGCCTCAGTTTACTTGGGGGTAAGAATCCAGCATCCTGCATGTAGCAAGAGGTACATTTTCCAAATGTGTCTCTGTGTTCCTATGTCAAACCCCCTTCCTTTCGTTCTGCCTTTCAAATGGCGTGGCTCAGTGCTCAGGATCTGAACACAGCATAACCATAAGATGTGAGAAATCAGAGCAGATCCCCTGGGCAACACAGTCAGAACAAAGGCTGTTACTTCTTCAAAGAGTGAGACACTCCCCCAGCGTAATGCTTTTGGGACTAAATTCACCCTTGGAATAAAGAGGCACAACTCCAAGGGCTTTCATGAAAATGGGAGTTACTTTCCACTGACGTTCATGGAGTTACCCTCACTTACATCAGCGATGCATTTGGCTGTTCATCTTCAAAACACTCTACAAGCAAAGATTAATTCCCAGCATTCCCAAGGACAGTAAATAGGCAGCCTTGTTATTACAGCTAGGAGAAGAGAGGCTGGGAGGGTAGAGGCTTGCGCATGACGACCATAAATCAGTGTCAAGAGTCAAGATTTGAGCTGAAGAGCTCCGGGATCCCAGGCCTGGGCTCAGCCGCTCTAAGGATTTACCCACGACAAGTATTTTGGAGACAACTACAAATCTTCGCAATCCAACTGACTCTCCAGCCAGCAGGGTTTTATGTCCTCCCACTTCCCCACACAGCTGTCCAGATTATTGGCTTGCCATTCTCTGGTTTTCTTCCCCACCAACGAAAGCCAGTCTTGCTCCAAACGGATCTCATGTTTGCCCTCACAAAGATCTGTGCTTAGCCTTAATGTGGCTCCCCAGGAAGGTGCAGGGGGGCATCTGACAAATGCACTGTCCTGGCGCTGCCCAACGAATCAGCCCCATCTGAGTGTACTGTCACAACCTTCTGCTGGCTGCAGAGAGGCTAACATTGCAGAAGAAAAAAAGTGACCCTGGAAACATGATGAAATAGGGCCCACATGGTTCTGACAGCAGCCATCCATCTGTGCGCACCAGGAGCTGTAAACACTTTTGCAATACACAGAGAAGTGGCTGGAATAATGTCAAGTGCCTCTCGCATCCCTATTAACTCAGAGCTGGCACTCTGGCGACACACGGGTCCTGTGCTTGCCCTCTGCACAGGGTGAATGTCACCAGGCTTGCCACTTCGTAACTGCATGCCCTGGTTCTATACGCTCTGCTCATCTGCTCTGGGGAGGGAAACGAACCGTGTGACCTCAGGGGCCAATCACAACAGCCTGAATGTCAAATTCTTGCAACAAACCACCTGCAAACAAGCCACAGGCCCTGAGCTGTTCAGAGACATGAGCCAGCACGTCATTTCCCAGCAACAAAGACGTGTAAGAAAAGCTGTGATCCGTTTGCAGACAAGCTAAGAACTGAAATTCCACCAATCGGGGATTCTTTGGGGATGACTCAAGGTCAGACAACAAAGCTCAGCTGCTCAATTTCACCGTCTCGTTCTTACGCACTATGGCCCATTCAGTTACATTTGTGTTTCCAGCCTCATGGGGACTGGTTAATCGCCCCCACAAAACTGTTTTCATTGACACAAAAATAACCATGGAAACGTTTCAGATTTGAATCACCGCTACCCTGGTTTTAACAAAATCTTGCTACTCGTCAGGGCCCTATTCATCAAACTTGCCAGGGGGGCAGAGGGATGGACTAAGCGCACCATAACAGCACAATGATGCTATCATTCACCTTTCTAGCCCCCAGATAGTGTTCTTCCTGTGCATGCAAGCGCTCATCATCTAGAGCAATGTTTCTTAAACTTTTTAAGTCAAACAATACGTTTTTTTATGAGGAACACCAAGGACTTTTTGATGAGCAAAAAAAAAGTCGGGGGGGGGGGGGGTAAATAAATAAATAAAAAGATTGCCTGCCCCTTTAAAGGCAGCCATTTTAAACTCTGTTGTTCTCCGCGGCACACCTCCAACTGCCTGGTGTGTCACAGAACACAGTTTAAGAAACACTGATCTAGAGACACATATAGTTATGGATCTATGCTGGAACTGAATAGAGCGATTCGACTCTTCATGGAGAAATCTTCCTCCCTTCTGGGTTCGGCCTCCCCAACACCAGTGCTGCACGTCTGCCACATGTACGAGTCACAGAGAGGCCAGCCAGCCAAAGGGCCTTTTTCTGAAAGGAGGCATCTTGCTCTACTTTAGCAAACGATCCTTCTCTTGAGCCTGTGGGGGTGAAGGCCTTATGACTAGACAGTTCACACTGGATGGCAGACAAAGCATAGCCCCCATCTATAATGGCATGATAAATGATATTTAACCAGTTAATTGTTGGAGGGCTGATGGGGTAGGGGTCGCTACAGGCAGGGTCCTGCTGGCCAAGGGGTTGCTGAGGGGCTGCTCCAGCCTGGCCCGCTGCAGGACTTGAACAGGTACAGTTAACTGGTTACCAGGTCAGCATGCTAGTAAGGCACATACTTATTGGGTAACCAGTTAACCTCTTACCTCCCTAGTTTCTCATGGGGAATACTTAAAACTCACCAGCCCCTTTTGAAAGGTGACTACTGTGTAAGTACACGCTGTCCTTGGGGCCACACAGGTGGTTCTTAAGAGCAAGAGCATATGGGTGAGAATACGACCTTCTCTGCTCAGACCCACCAGGGCTTGTGTCTCCTGTTCCCACCCCCTGTGTGGTTGGGGTGAGGGATGTGATTTTGGTAACAGGGCTGGGGGCACATGCTGGGATCCAGGGGACCTTTTGCCATGGTTCTATTGGTTGTTGGATGAGGTGGCTTTTCCCAAATTCTTCTCTATCAAGGATGACGGGCAAGGCCAGCACTTCTCTCTTTGGCTGCCGCTTTCTTATTCCCAGAGAGCCTCTGAGGAGGCTGGGATGGCACAAAACGCTCTTGGACACAGACTACAGTTTTCCAAACTGCAAATGGAGCTGGGGTCACCAGCACAGTTGGAGACAGGATGAGATTTATCTCACTCTCCCTGATGACTTGCGATCCCTGAGGCTCCAGCTGGATTTAGGGGGGGGGGTTGCTGGCTGCCTATTACAGCAAATGCACTCTACACAAATGTGCTCTTGTCCTTAGGGTTCAGAAAGCAACTAAGAGTTAACAGGATGAAAGGAAAGAGGTACTTGTTGGATTGAACAGCAATCCTATCAGCCAGGCAGCGAGTCATTCTGGCTATGTCTGTGCTCTGGATTGCTAGATTTGCCCCATGCCAAATGCTGCCTGACCAAGAAATCTCACTAGCTTTTGAAGGCAGCCTCAGAGAGCAGCTAGGGCAGGAGAATTCCAGTATTTTGCAAGGCTGGGAGGGTCTTGCTCATCTCAACATGAGAAGGCAGCATTGCGCCCCTTGCTGGAAATACACAAACATTCTGAGGCATAGGGTTGCCAGCTGTTTTGAACCGGACAGTCAAGCATTTGAGCTTTCTGTTCAGGAAACAAATTGAGAAAATATCAATGAGAAAATAGAACTGTCCGGTATTTTTTAAATAAGATGGAATGTCGATTGTGATGTCATGTCAAGGATGTCCAGTATTTTTGTTGAAACCATCTGGCAACCCTACTGAGGCAGCAAAAAGGAGAGGTCAGAGCACAACCACGCAGCTGCCCTGTCTCCATCTGCTGGCTAGCAGCGATGACACTCAATTACAGCCAAAGACCTCAGATCAGGCGTAGGCAAAATGTGGCCTGCGGGCAGGATTTGGCCCACCAAGCCACTGGATCTGGCCCAAGGAAGCAGCAGGGAGCCCCAGGTAGACTCTCCTGCTTGCCCCACAGCCCCACGCACTCGCTGTGCAGAAACATGGCTGCAGGGATCTGTTTCTGTTTTAAAACTGGAGGGAAGGGGGGAAGTTTTAGGAGCTGCCCCACCCCCAGCACGTTCCCATTGGCCAGTTTCTGGAAGAAATCGGCCAATTGGAGAGTCTTGTTAGAATAACCGGCAGCTAAGAAGAATCACGCCCCCTCTCCTGGATTCATGAAGCACAAGGCCTGGCGGGCTGGGAAACATTTTAAGTCTGCAGGTAGGCAGGCTAGTTTGGCAGCTGGCAAGTAAGTCTCTTGACCGCAGCCTGCTTCTGGCATCCCAGCCCTTCCCCGCCCCAACTCTCTACCCCTCTCCCCCCAGTCAATATACCCAAACCCTCTGTCTCCCTCTTACACCCATGCCCCCTCCCAGATCTGGCACCTCAGTCTCCTGCCCCAGGTCACAATCCCCTCCTACCCTAGGTCACATCCCAAACCCCTGCATTCCAGTCCCCTGCATTAGGTCACAACCGCCTGCTTTTTCCTAACTCCCTCCCAGACTCCAGTCTCCCTCCTACACCTCAGTCCCTTGCCCCAAGCTTCCTTCTGCACCCAACCTCCATCCCAGACCCCGCACTTCCTCCTTTAATATCTTGGAAGAGTGCAGCCCTCGACCACTTTCCAAAATCTTGGGAGTGCCCATCCCTGCCTCAGATGCTCTAGTGATAGCTGAGGGATAAGGCTGACAAACTCCTAGACTTGCACAGAAGAGTGGGGAGAAAATATCCTCCTCGTCCAACCCGTTTCCCACGTTACTTCGCACTGAGCTTTCTCCTGCACCATTAAAACACATGTCAAAGCCTGCATACAGAATAATTGCCTCCCAGGCTGTGCTGCCTTCAGAATCCGGCAGGTCAAATTCCATTCTCAATGACATTGGGGGCAATCTGGAACCATTTCCATTTGCTTCCCAGAGATACACCACAAAATTTGGTCCACTGCAATAACATCCCCTTTCCTGCTAACATTTGTGAGGAGGCAGCTACTGGGGGTGAGGGTGGAAACCTGGCCAGCCCTCTGTCTGCTCCAATCCTAGGATTTCCTAAAAGTCCCACATGTCCTGAGAGCACTGGAGTCTTACGGAGAAGATCTATTACCTTCATGCTGCCGTGGAGTCGACTCCCTTGTGGATACCGGAGAGGCGCGATGCAGATGGCTACTAAACGCCGCCCCATGGTCCTCGTAGGAAAGTGGGCTGCGGCGTGGCTTTCCGGGCTCGGGGACGATCACAGGGGCTCCCCTGGTAATTGAACCTCCGGGGTTTGAAACTGGGTTGGGCCTGCTTTTCAGGCTCTCTTCATAACATGCTCTTTCCAGAGTCCTTGGGTCTTGCATGACATCCAGCGAGTGCACCGAGTGAAAAGTGCCCCCCGGACTCCCGATGATTGACCGCACGTCATGCTTCTTGGCACTTGCTGAGGAAGAGTTGCTGTCATATTTCAATGGGGTACCCTGGGGAAACAAGGAAGAAGAGAGTCATCAAAGTGGGGTAGGGAACACCCCTAGGCAGGCTCAGCGCAGATCATCGTTTGCTCTGTTAAGGCGTCACTAGCACACTGTGCTTGGCTTGGGCCCCCAAAGCACCCCAATGACTTGGAAACTAAAGTCCCACTGAAAATCAACAGGCCCTGTGCTATAGAAATAGCAGCAATCCTGTAGCTAGAACTCTAATGGTAAAACTCTGAGCTAGGAGGTAATGCATCAGCCTGTGACAGGTCAGGCTGAGCAGAGACTCCCATTCCCATGAGAATCAACCGTCTCCAGGTGCCAGAGGCTAACAGAACATGGCATGTCAATTCGCATTCCCCGCTGTGCCTCACCAGAAGATGAATCACCATTGCTGAGCATCTATATCCACTGCATTCTCCCCACCCCTCCAGAGATATATGATACACTCAACAGGCACAAGTATTCTGCTAGTGAAATGCTTCCCGTATGGTGCAAGTCCACAAAACGTGCCCCAAGCACTCGACCCTCAGTTCCTAAAGCCAGTTTGACTGAAGGTAACAGATCCTGCTCTTAGTAACACCTACGTAATCCAGAGTAATTCCAACTCATGTCAGGGGATTCACTTTGGATTTACACCCATGTAACTGAGAACACATCAGAAGCCAAGAAGTTTTCCCATGTTGGGGGTTGTGTGTCTCAAACAGTGCAATTAGAAAGGGGCACTCATCATTAGAAAAGGGCCCAAACTGGTATAATTAATCTGATCCCACCACCCCAGTATCTGCTGAGGGTGGGGAGGAAGGAGAATAAGGGAGTGTCTTGTAGCTAGAACCTGCACTTCAGGGTCCCTGGTTTTACAAGGAAAAAAAAAACTTGACTAATGACATTTTTACAACTCCACAACCATCTTAACATCTTCCCATCTCTACTCAGGTCAGCTGAAGTCTAGCTAGCATGGCTAACAATAGCTGCCAAGACACAGCAGTGCAGGCATTGCACAAAGCTAGCAAGGGTGCAAGCTAGGCTTGTGCTAACTTCATGGCATCTATGATCTGCACTAGTGAAAGAATTGCTTGTGGTGTTTGCTAGGATTTAAAATACCCTCCAGACAAAAATCCCTACAAAGAATTGCTCTGAAAGGTCACACTCCCACCAGCCTTAGGACACCCATGAAGGGATAGGACACACAGCCCATTGTAGAGGTTTTTTAACCACGATGTCTCCTGACACCCTGCCTGCACACTGGGCCCAACTGGGAAAAGGGCTAATTATGTGCCAGACTTGGCATATTTCAAAATAGGGGCCAAAGTTCTAAGGGATGCACCCCATGAAGGCCTCTCTTCAACCCAGACCTCCTTTATCCCTGGTGTCCTTCTGATCCCCTTTGCTGCACAGAAAGTAAACCTGCCCCTTCCCAGTACACACCTGTGTGATAGATCCTTCCTTCAGAGGCCTTGCTGCCACTGGAATGTCAGGCGTGCGCCTTAACTCTTCTCTGGGAATCTCATGAATTGATCGTCCAGCTTCCTTCACCGTGGCAACGAGGCCCTCGTGAGCTGCTTTCATTTTCAAGAGAGTGAGGCCCTCATGAGGCCTAACCTTGTAGGTGTCAGACATGTCCCTTGGCGGAGTGTTTTCTCTCTTGAGCTGTTTGGCTTCTCTTCTGAGGTAATCCTCATGGCCCTCCACGTAGGAGCGTGGGATTCCTGAACCCCCCATAGGAAGGTAATGAATCAGTGTGATTCTCCAAAGAAGCAGGTTCGTGCAAACAGAATGCTGAGCCTACAGCCTCTGCCAGGTTGTTCACTTGCAAAGTCACTACAGAGTCTGGGCGACCCAACTGATTCTGTATCACTGCTGCCATACAGGGTCTTACACACCAAGAGCAGGGTTTTTCAGAAACGTTCTGCTTTGGCTCAGCTCTGCTCTTAGTGAGTTTCCCAATGGGAGTATTACCAGTGACTTAAACAAGAGCAGAGTCAATGGTTCACTTCTGAAAAGCTCACCCCCATCAGGCAGCAGATAGCATTATTACTATTGTGAATACCTACCTCTTACCTACCCCCATGCATCAGAAGACCTCAAAACACTTTACATTATCCCTATTTTACAGATGGGAAAACTGAGGCACAGAGTAGGGAGTAACTTGTCCAAGGTCACCCAGCAGTCCAGTGGCAGAGCTAGAAGTAGATCTCAAGTCTCTTGACTCTAAGTCAAGTGCTCTACCCACTAGGACTAACTGCTTCTCCAGACTCTGTCTAGATCTGCCATGTGTCTACAGAACCAGTGGGACAACTCAGTCCTTAGTTCCTTCTGCTGTAATTGCAACAAGGGTTAATCAATTCCTTTTGCACATGAGGAAATTTCATAAATCACAGCCTGCCCCCTATATACATACCTCCTGATGTGGATACTTGCCTTGAGTAATTGAGCCCCGGATATGATGTTGCTCCTTTAAGTTATGGGGACTGTGTCTGTCAGGTGGGATCGCTCGACCCATTAGTCCTAGAAGAGGCCAAAGGGAACAGTCAGAAATTAGCAAGGAAGACAGTTTACTTGAATCTGCTGACATTTTCATTATATTTTAAAGGGACACTGACAACTGACATCTAGTTTACATTTTTTTTTCTCCAGTGCTACTAGCACCCACTGGGATTAATTCAACAGACAATTTACTATTTTTCCTTTTGCACTGCTTGTTTACATCTTGTACTCGGGGGACCAAAAGGGTAGACTAGTCTGTTTCCCTTTGTTTCTAGCCAGTTTCCCTTTCTTGTTTTCCTACTTTTGCACTGTTTGGATTCAAAGCACTGCTAGGGCAGGTTTCAGTTTAAAAAATCATTTGCGGGCCCACACTAATCATCTTTCCTGGAAATCTTTCTTCAGATGCATGTACCCCCCCAAAAAAAGCATATGGCTAGATGCTAACATCGTCAACAAAAATATGATTAATCTAAACATAGATAAACAATCAGGCAAACTTTTACAGAATTGTAACTTTAAAACTGCATCCCTCCCTGCTTTATAAACCAGAAACCCGTTTTGCCCCTTCCACAGCAAAATGTATCTTTTCCCTGCTCTCAGTTCCCATGCAGCTCTGGAGCAGTGGTGGGCTACCTATGGCCCACTGAGGATCTGTGTGTGGCCCACAAGATATTGTATTCACAAGTGCCCATGTGCATGTTGCCAGATTGCAATGGTTTCCGTTGCCAGATTGCAAAAGTTTCCATCTGTGTCGTTTTTCCTACCAGCATTACTAAAGTCACACGCACGTAAAGCCAGGGCATGGGAAGCAAAATGCATGCTCACTGCATAGCACATTGACTGTGAGAGCCGTGTGCTCCCACTGCATCCAGTCAAAGTGCTGCTGTGGTTCCATCGACACACTCTGCAAATTCTAGGTGCGCGAGCGCAGTTAGTGAAACTGCCCTATCCCAGGAGATCATCTTGGTTACGACAATCTTGTGGACCACTTAAGATGCCACGCATGTCAACCACTCCCTAGCCGAGGCTTCCCGTTGCTGATACAGAAAGAATGAAGATGCCACTATTAAAATATATAAGCCCTTTAAATAAACTAGATACTCATATCCTAATCCTACAAACACTGTAACACTTGTAAGTAGCCCGAGTGAAATATGATCAGAGATTTCACATGCATAGTTACTTCATTATTATTATTATTTATTACAGTAGGGCCTAGAAGTCTCAGCAATGGACTAGGAGACCATTGTGTTAGGTACTGTGTGTACGCACGTGTGCGCATGCACGCACACACAAAAAGCTTATGATCTTATATGTGCAGAGCTAGCCAGCTGGGATGCTAGATGAGTAGTAACTAGGCTCTCTTGGCAAAAGGGCTAGAAAAAATGTCTATTAAATAGTGGGGTTTGGGTTTGTAAAACCCTTTTTAGGGTTTATTTTAAGAAAAACCATTTATTTATAGATAAAATTATCAGCTGATGTCCCTTCAACTGTTACAGTTGGGACTTTCAATGGGAGATGTGTGCCTGTCAACCCTGCTGAAAATCATATGTCATTTAAAACAACTTGGCCATTTCTGTGCAGAGCACAAAACACCAGTGTTGAGAAGGACAGGTAAATTCAGACCCATTTTCCTGGTAAGGTCTGCAAGTTCTCGCAGTATTGCTAGACCCAGAAGAGAGACGTGGTTGTCACTCTCACACGTACATGCAAATACACATATACACAAGCATGCAGCAAAACATGGTTTTGGTTTGGATGCCTTATTTTAAATGAATTAAACTAAGAGCCAGAAGGCATGTGCCTCTCCTCCAGAACAGGCTGCCATCACTCCTGCTGCTGTTAGTAGACTGGGGGAGTGCTCAGGACTGGAAAGGTGCTGCATAGTTTCTGCTCCTGTGCTTGATTACAGACTTGACACCACTGAAATATTCCCCTGAAACCTACCTTCTATGCTAGTAGATGACAAATCACGTGCTGATAAGCCTCGGCTGATTCTCCCCTCCATCATATCGTAGGTCCGTTTGGTACCAGTGGTCTCGTGAGAAGCACCAGCACTTCGGTTGTCCTCCTTGGGGCACGGGGAAGCACCAACTCCACCTAAGAAAGAAAAGAAGGTGAAGAAACAAGAGCAGCATGAAGAAGGGGCAGTGAGCAAGCGAAGCTGTTTGCTGTCATTTCACGTCGTCCGCTAAAGGCTCAGTCCCCATGGAGTGAGGTCCCACAATTCAGTTTGCACTCATCAGGCTTTGTCACCATTCCAGTATGCTGCTCGGTTCCAGGAAATTCAGCTGCCCTCTCCTCCTTGCCTGCCTCAGACTTCAAATTCCATGGCCTCATGTTTGGGCAAGAGCATCCGTCTTTCCCCCTAGCCAAACAGCCTGTGAGAAGTTATGGAGAAAACTCTGCTCTGGTGCAGGCAGTTGAAACTCCCAATGAAATTAGCCCTGTGGCACAGCTTCCTGAATACCCCTATTGTTTCTGATCTCATCCAGTCTCTCTAACATACACTTTGAGACATTCCCTAGATGATAAAATCAGTCAAAGGGGAAGAAGTAAAGCAGAAAAACCTTTAGCATCAAAACTACCACACAGAACATTCTTGTTACTTTAATCAGAGCCAAGATGGACAAACTATTCAAAGGTAGAGGAGGCTATGAAAAATCCAAGGCACCATAACTGAGACTGGTGGAGAAAGCACAGAATCAAGCTACAGAACTGAATGACGCCTCAAATACTTGCTCCACTTCCAATTTAAAATAGATTGTCATGCAGAATTATGGAAATTCAAGATGAGCAAGACCTATTGGGCTATTAAATCCATCTCCCTGCCAATACAGTACTACCTAATACTGTGCTGTTAAGCCTATCTTCTTGCATCTGTCCATTCATGAATCTGTTTGTTCAAGAGCTCCTCCCTAAAAAGTAAGAGCTAGGACCACCAAATTTGGTATGCAGCTTCCCCCTTCCTTTTCCTTATCATAACTTAAAGCAAGAGAGAAGTCCCCCCCAAACCCTGTTCTGATTCCTGCATCACTCCACTCTGAGTCCCTCCTCACCCCCTACCCTGACTCCTGCACCTCCCATACTCCAGCCCCTTCTCAAGCCCCAAGCCACCCTCAGCCTCCTGTCCTGATAGCACTACATCCCAAGGTCCTGCCCTGCCTCCTGCACCCACCCCCCCAATCCCTGAAGGACTCCAGCAATGCTGAGTAAGTCTTCTAGTATTTCCAAGAGGGGGCTCTCCCCTTTTCCTTTGGAAGTCTGTTCTATAGCCTGAAAAATATATATCTATGGTTCACCATTGGATTTGCATGAGCAAATCCATCCTGCAGCCACATTATTTCCTCCATAATGCAGCCCACTCCATGGTATTTACAAGGCGGTTTATGACACAGCTGAAAGCCCAAGGTTTATGTAACAAGTTCCAAGCTCCACAATTGGCTCACGCAAGATAAGCTCATTGCCTGTTATCCCTGGACTAGTCCATCCTGCCAAGGAATGCTAGTATCCTACTCCTTTCCTCTCATGGACACCATCTCTAGGTTTGCATACAGAAAACACAGAAGAAGTTTAAAACACTGGTTTGGTCACATAGAGTTTGGGAACAAAAGTTCTCTTTTACAAAGCAAGTAATGAATAAAATAGGATTATTACAACACAACCCCCAGCTCTGAGTTTCTAGTCCATCCTGCCAAGGAATGCTAGTATCCTACTCCTTTCCTCTCATGGACACCATCTCTAGGTTTGCATACAGAAAACACAGAAGAAGTTTAAAACACTGGTTTGGTCACATAGAGTTTGGGAACAAAAGTTCTCTTTTACAAAGCAAGTAATGAATAAAATAGGATTATTACAACACAACCCCCAGCTCTGAGTTTCTG